ACACACACACACACACACACACACACACACACACACACACACACACACACACACACACACACACACACACACACACACACACACACACACACACACACACACCACACACACACACACACACACACACACACACACACACACACACACACACACACACACACACACACACACACACACACACACACACACACACACACACACACACACACACACACACACACACACACACACACACACACACACACACACACACACACACACACACACACACACACACACACACACACACACACACACACACACACACACACACACACACACACACACACACACACACACACACACACACACACGCGGGCACACACACACGCGGGCACACACACGCGGGCACACGCACGCGGGCACACACACGCGGGCAAGGACACGCGGGCACACACACACGCGGGCACACGCGGGCACACGCGGGCACACGCGGGCACACGCGGGCACACGCGGGCACATACATGCACCTGGACACGTGCAAATGCATGTACCTACATATACATTCCTCTATATATATGTATACATTTCTCCCAATGGATCCCGGGCTTTTTTGAAGACTATTTTGGAGATGGAATGGACTTGTTTTTGTTTGTAGCACATAGTTGCTGCCCCCCATGATCTACATGGACCCCAGATAAGCACAAACACATTCAGAGACAGACTGACATACCAAACAGGTGGCTTTCTCGGAAACCTCCCGAGAGGGCCTGGCTTTTTCTCGGTCAGGTGTGTACATTGGCAACTGTGGCACTGACTGGACCGGGGTGAAGCTTCCAGACATGTCGGGCCGGCACCTCAGGCTTGAGAGCTGGGCCGCAAAAGCATTTCACCTTTCTTGCGATTTGGTAAAAGGCAAAGGAACAAAAATCCGCATTGCTGTGGGACCCATATTTCGACACCCCGGAAAGGTGAAGGTATGGCTCGGGTCTTGAGATGTCCATTGAGGCACCACGGACCTCTTGCACTACATGGGATCCATGTCCGCGCACGTGACGAGCACCAGGCTATCCTACGTCTTTGGCATGCGGGGCCCTATCAGTACCTCGGACACGGCCTGCTCTTCGTCACTGGTGGCGATGCTTGTTTGCAGGGAGAGCAAAAGGAAACTTGTCCTCCCGGGAGCAAAACACCACCCATTGATTTGCATCACTCAGGACTGGAGAGGCGCACAATGTGCCTGGGGCAGCACCTAAGATGACAGGCTGATGTTTCTCTTGAATGTTTGCCGCAAAGATCAAGGGCAAAAACAACTCACAGGCCTTGGAACCATGCAAAAGCGATCGCCCTTTTTGTAAGCCATCCTTGGCACTTGGCACTGGAGACGAATTGCGGGCGAGGCGCTGAGACCGCTGGACCCCGGCCAAGCGAACGTCACAACAAGCACTGGCAAGACAGAACAGGCGGTGGTGGTCGGCACCAATGCCTTGCTGCTCGGCCTGTGTTTATTGGGAGTGCAAGGTGCAAAGCATGGGCAACAAAGGCTCGGGCCGTTTTCCTGGATCGGCCTTTGCGGCCCCAAGATGCTTTCGGCTGCTTGGCGCGCGTTGAGTCCTTGCCCTTCCGGCGGTTGTTGTTGCTTGTCTCCGGCGAGACGTCGGATTCGGTCCAGGTGAAGGGCCGTTGCTTCACCTTCGACTACACTGCGGATGGCTTTGGTAGAGGAGAAGGCGGCGGACAGAGCGACCGCATACATTGAACATCCTCTTTCCGGTGAATCAAATGCCGGTTCTCTATAGCAACTAGACCCTTCGCCTAGACGTTCAGACTCCGACCTGGTTTCCTTTTCGGCGTTACGGCGGCAGGTACCAGCGCCTTGTTCGCAGAGGTCACTCACAAGGAGCCTGTGGAAAGGCTGGCGATCTTCTGCGGCACCTGCATCAATCAAGATGGAAGGAGCCGGAGAGGGGGCAGCAGACTGCCCGGAACGTGAATAGATTCCGTGCGCGCCAGGAGTGCATCCATGACCGCACCACACGGCCCCTCCCAGCAGGCAATCGGTTCGGTCGAGTTCGGATTTGGCTCGTCCCAAACCCAGGTGGAGGCTGTGTCAAACGGACCATTGACTTTGGTTGCCTTGGTTAATGTCAAAAGGACCCCCAGACGTGCCAGGAGTGCATCCGGGCCTCCCTGCGGGAAGCCAACGTCACCCCGGGAGACATCCGGGTCGCAGAACTGCATGGTACCGGCACCGCGTTGGGGGACCCTATCGAAGTGGGGGCCCTGCGGGGCGTCATGAAGAGCCCTTGCTGAATTTGAGATGGGCTGAGGGCTGACTGAACCAACGGACTTGAGAGTGGTATGTATCTTTTGCGGCAAGCCGACGAGGGATCGCAACTCCCCGATCCTGAAGACCAGCGCGAAATCCAACTTGGCGCATGGCGAAGCCAACGCCGGCATGGCAGGCCGGCTCAGGGAATCAGGGATCTCGAAGTCCGCAAGGAGCTAAGTAGCTGTACTTGAGGGCGTCAGGGTCGGCTGGCGGCGACGAAGGTCTTGTCAAATGCGTGCTGCTGCTGAACCATTGCACTGTGGCGCCAAATGTGCACTTCCACTCGCTGAATCCGCACTTGGACTTGACTGGCTATCCGTGCTATATCTCGGCGGCTTGGCTAGAAACATGTCGACCTTCGACACAGTTGGTCAACACAGCACCCCCAAGAGCAGGCCGACATTCTCATCTCCATGTCCCAAAACGGGACAACACATAGTGTTTGAAGAATTGCCATTGACATGCAAGGCAGAACTGCTGGTACAGAGGACGGCAACGAAGCTAGCCCGCGGACAGAACCACATTTTTCTCAACTCCCTTTATTCTTTGTGGATGCTGTTGGTGCAGGTGATTGGGGTGCTGCTTCCAATTCTGCGGATTGGAGAGAATTACTGTCCTGCCAGCACGTCTCAAAAACATCGGCCACCCATTGGTTTCGATTCTGCCCCATTGAGGCCCAGGCTCCCTGAAAAGCCAGACAAGCATTCGCAGCGCGGAGCTGGCACACTGTGGCAATGGAGGTTTTTTCTTTTCACACCTTGCTGGTGCGATAAGTAGGGAATGTGGGGGGTCGAACCCAACCTTTGCTCCTCTTGAAGGAAGCCACCTGGTCCCCAAGGAAACCATGAACCCAGGCTTCAAGGAAAAACCGGTCGGATGGTTTCTGGTACAACTCCAGTATTCTCTTGGCATACCCGCATTTCCATCCCTACCCCAGTATTTCCTTCTCTTACTGCTCAAGAGAAGGGGAAGACTAGGGGAGTACCTTCCATCTCTCAATCTCTCGATCTCAGGGTGAGCTGCTGGAGCTGGGCACCAACACGGGCTACGCGGGCGTCTCCTCCTTCGGCTTCGGGGGCACCAACGCCCGCGCGGACATTTGGGGCAAGGCGCATGTGGGCACCCGCCACTCGGAAGGCTTATTGTGCTTGTTATAATTGGGTGCGGCTTTTCTTTTGTTTCTTTTTTCCCCGAGGATCCCCCTTTTTGTGGGTTTTACAGGGAACCGAAAAAGAAAACTGCCATTTTTTTGGGGGTCCCCTAAGAAAGACACCCAATTGCAGATTTGCATCTCACGAATCCCCACTGACGCCCAGGAAAGGTGCACAAGCTGGACCTAAACATGCTGGCCCCTCGGCAGAAGCCTTCTTACAGACGACATATTTGCGCAGGTCACTCATGGCGTTTTGGCGTAGCTCCTTTTGGATGTTCTTGGATTCTTGGAGTCTTTGCTATTGACGATAATCGCTACGTGCCATGAAAACCAGAGCGCCATCCTGCGTCGCGGTGCTTTGCAAGTGCGGAAAACGCACGCGACTGCCGGTCAAACCTCTCATCCCCATTTGTACAGTGACACAATCTGGATGCTTGATTGTGCCGAGGAGAACGTCTCTGTGCGCTGTCCGTGCCTTTGGCCAAAGACAGACTTGGCGGTTAGTTTGCCTCGAAGCTTTGGAACTGTTGTGTTGTCCGGGTTCCGCGGAATGGGGCCTGCTTTTCTCAGCTTCCATCTGATTGGTGGAGCCCGGTCGTTTGGTGGTTAAGGGGTGGCTTCCCATTTACCCTTCTAGGAGAACCACGAGTTCAACTCCAAATCCCCAACCCACCAATCCAAACCACTTAAGGGTACCCTGCTTTCCCGCGTTTGAGGAAGTGCCTGGGCAGCATGGAGTGGAAGAGCTGCTGCGCCATGCCTTCCAGGTGGGATCCATCGATCGGTCCATGGTGACCTCGGGGCCAAAGTAGTTTCTCTCCGTGTCTCATAGCGGAACCCCTCCGAAATAGGGTGGTTTCCTGTTGGTCTCTGAAAGCACAAGCAAGTACCAACTCCGAAAATGACACACCCCCAACCCGTATCTCATCGTTTCATCCCAATTGTCACAGGAATATTCGGTTCAGGTAACTCCTTGGTGGTTGGACTGGTTTGGGGCTTTGAACCCCTTCTGGGAACCCCCGGAGCACCTCCAGACCGAGCCAAGCCACCAATTATCCCCCCTTTCCGTGTTTGTACTTGAATGGCCAAAAAACATGGGAAAAAGGTAACCCCCCCTCCGTTTTTGGTTCAATAAAATGTGGGCAACCCACAAGGGAACAAGACAGGGGGATCGATTGACGTGAAGCGGACCCCGTCCGGGAGGCTGCAGAAGGCCACGGGCCAGGGCCGGCCCAGGGCCCGCTGCGTGCGCGGAGAGTTTGACAGCTACGAGCTGTGCAGCCGGGGATTCCCAGGGCCGAGTTGCCAAAAGGGCAGAGCCGAAGGGGTCCCTTTAAAATCACTACGGGGTACTTCCTCTTGGTTTTCTGGACTCTGAGCACAGATTCTGCGGAAGGTGAGGGGGAAAACTTTGAGCAGTGCTGCAGTCGCTGTGGCAATTCTGCAGGAAGGGCTTGCAATTGCAATCATGGCCTCCAACATACTTTTTGCTAGCACTGTAGGGACTGCCCAGGATGCCAAACTTGTGTCCCCCCGTACCCCCTCTCCCAATTTCCCCCATGTGAGGCCAGGAAGGTGTTGCCTCATTTTTTTGACGTATTTTGTAAGAACGCATTTGACACAGACGGCCACTCAGGTAGCCTTTAGTTGGTTTGGATTGGTGGCTTATGGGAAACCCCACCTCCGGACCACCAACCCAGAGAGACGCTGACCAGAGGCCTCTGCTACCAGGGCTCCTACGTCTATGGCCAGCCGCCCGCAGAGGAGCCGCTGCCGCAGGGCAAGGCCTTTATTAAGGGCTCCTGGACCGCGCCTTGGACGAGCACACATCTGTGTGTATGCCACTTTTTTAGGCATCGGCCTGGGCTGTCCTTCGGGTTTCAGTTGAAACCTCAAAAGACAATATACCCATATGCTCGGCGTCAGTTTAGGGGGAGAACAAGAGGAAAACTCACCATTTTGGGGTCACTGGTCACAGGTCGACGGAGAGCACTTGGGCCTTGGGAATGAGTTGGCAGGGAGACATGTATGGAAGCTGCTAGATTTTCATTGGGCCTCGCCTAGCCACCGGTCACGCGCAACGTTGCATATGTGCAGTTGAGATTTACAGGTGAAGGATAGCTGTTTGAGAAAGAAGCTCAGTCTGGTGCTGCGAATGGGCGGCACATGGTTTCCGAGGCATTCTCCGAGTTCGAGGAAATGTCTTCGCAGGACGTGCAACTTGGAGTGGACAGCACGGAGAGACTTTACGTTCAAGCATCCAAGTCTGCTGCATGAGCACTGCGCCTGTCGAGGACCGCAGCTTCAGCTTTCAACTGCGCCTGGGAGAGAGCCGCTGCGAGCGCTTCTACATCGCCTTTCAGAAGAACGCCTCGTGGTTGGAAGTGTAACGTTTGGGCCCCCGGTTGCGAGGCCCATGTGGCCACACTTGGGATGACTGAATGCATAGTCCGTTAATCCTTTTGCGGCCCTTTTTGCCTGAGCCGAAATGCGCGCTGCCACAGTTTAGTGAGATTTAGACACTGGCTTGCTTTGGCACATGAGAAGGGGACATCAAGAACCAGGCTATCAGCAGGTAGGCAGTGCGCAAGGCTGATGTCCCTAGCTTGGGGCTGAGATGTGCACTTGCAGAATCTGGGAAGCCCAGGAAGAGCAGGCCGTCTTTCCCTGGGACCGATCAGGATTGAGAGCGCACTGAGGGTTTGCATGTTTGCTTGGAATGGAGGCGTTAAAATGGGGGGGCTCTTTTGCACGGATTGAGGCAAACCAAAAGGAGAGCCATTTCCAATTCTTGCTTTCGGCAAGACCTGAATGCCAGGAGCGGCCTCGGTGCGGGTCAAGGGGCCTTGCCCCATGGAAGAGGGCCACTTCTTTGTCATCGATGGCAGGGACGAGCAATGGCCCGAGGCGCTTCGCTTCAAAGTCGCTGTAGGTCACGGTTCGTGAAAGGCCAGGGGGACGGTCCGTGCAGTTTGAAGTCTCAGGGCTCGCTGATCAACATCCGCTTCTGGACGGAGGGCAAGAACGAGCGGAAGATCGCCTGGGAGCGGCAGCTGGAGGAGGGTGGTCCGAAAGCACCGCGGCAGAAGTCGGCAGAAGTGTTTAGCAAACGGTATGGGTTGGTGATGGGGGTGGGGAATGTGAGGAAGTCAGCAGGTTGCTTGCCAAGCGAGCCTATTGGATACGCGCGGCTCGGGCTTGCCTTGGCCGGAGTCGAGCTGAGGAGATGCCCAGCTACACCCACAGCTATCAAATCCTTGGCTCGCTGACGCAGATGAAGATGATCCCGATGAAGCCGGTAAGAGGCCTTCGGAACCTTGGCTCGCAGTCTGTGACGCGAGAGACGCCGTGAGACCCGTGACACGCGTGAGACGCGTGGGAATGCAACCGGAGGAATGTTTTCGAGTACTCCACGCGGATGGGGCTGCAGAGCTACGAGACCTTCCACTTCTTCCGAGATTACGACCGGTCCCAGGCTGCTTTACTCTGCGCATGCGGTGGGGCGAAACCCGCCGGGGCGGGACACGGGATGCGTCGATTCGCCAGGTCATCTACCCCGCCAGGCGAGGCATGGCTTGATCTGGGACTGGGCCTTTCGCAGGGCTTTTGGCCACCAAAAAGCCAAGAGAGAGAATGAGGAGACAGAGAGAGAGAGAGAAAGAACTCCGAATGAGTTCTGCCTTGAGAGTTCTGGATTGAAAGGTCTAGTTCGGTCCATCAAGCACCCACTCGACAGGCACATGCCAAAGATCAGCAGCGTGCCTGCCCGGGTCTCAGCCCGAATTGGCTACAGACAATTCCACCCTCATGACGTCGCCGTATGCGACGGTACTCGCCATTCACCTTTTGCCTTTCCAAGGGGCTTCCTGTTGGGCAATCTTTGGCAGAATCGATCAGGGAACTCTGAAGTTGAAGTTCTTGGCACCATTCTATCCCGCGAACGATCCGAGCAGTACAGAGGTGTGCCTTTTTCAAGATTGGAGCCCCCCAAAATGCGATTCGGTTTTCCTTTCAGTTTTCCTTAACCACAAAAACAGGTACCACCCCACGGGCGGGGGGGGGGTTCACTTGGGACTCTCGAGGTCCGTGGCCCAGATGCCGGCGGCGCGGAGAACTTCTTCGCCGCCCACGGGCGCCAGGGCGAGCGCCTGGTGATCCGCCTGGAGGTGCCTGTGCGTCTGTCCGTCCGCGCGGCGCGCGTCGCGCGTCGCGCGTCGCGCGTCGCGCGTCGCGGGTCCGAGAGGGTGGGACCCGTGTTTTGGGGGAGGCCGAAAGGAAGTCGACCACCCTGGGACCGATCTCTTGCGAGGACTCAATGGAACCAGTTTGGTTGCAAGAGGGGGTGATTTTGTTCGGCTTCTGCGAGTCTCCAGGTGGAAAAGCAGATGACGGAAGGGAACGCACAATTTGGAAAAGCCACAATAGGGGTGCCCAACATTTCTACGTACTCTTCCAGTGTTCCCTTTGAAACAACCAGAAACACGTGACCAACTCGAACCAAAAACACTGAATATTTCAGGGTAACCCAGGTCCCCAGAATAAGACGAAGAACCTGCGTGAAGTTGGCAGAGCTGAACATTGCCTGTTGGTCCAAAATCGTCCAACTCATGTCAGCCAAGATCAAAACCAGGATCGACTGCCTGGATAGATCCTTACATTTCTTTCGGTGGGATCCCTTGTTGCAGTCATGCCTCGTGTTTTCAGGTGAGACTGAAAGCATGGGCCATGTTGGTAGGGCAACAGCAAGTCTTTGGCCCTGCAGCAAGCATTCTTGGGCCCAACCCATGAATCTTCCCGTTGCTCGCAACGTCATGTCACCGGACGAAATGCTCCGTTTCCCTTTTGAAAAGACAACTCCTAATGATTGAGGACGAGCAGTGAAGGCCCGGCGCCGGTGTCCAGCTTGGATCCCATGCCTGTCTCAGGATAGAAAGCTCCCTGAAACTGAGATCATGCTAGGTGGCCACGAGCAACATTTGTTGCCAAGGGACAAAGGGGAGGGGGTTCTCGTTTGAATGAAGACTTTGCTCAAAGCTCCACATTGGGCACTTGTTGCAGCACGGCGCAGGTTGCAGACGCCCACGTCACGGTGTCCGCGGAGAGTCTTGCCGCTGGCACGCGCACCTGGCACAGCCAAGAGGAGAGATCTTGCGTGCGGCTACATGTGCGGCTTTCAGGTTAAAGACAAGCTATGGCTTCACATTGTCCTGAACTGAAAGCAAGATGTCTCCTTCTCTCCTTAGCAAAGCATGGACGTTGCAGCCACAGCATCCAGTCAAAGGGGAAGCAAGGAAGCGCGTCACGTTCTTTTTTTTCTCCCCGGGGCTCAACCCCCATATGTAAAGGAACGTTTACCCCAACTTATATGAATATGATGAAACTTCTTATGTATGCACTAGTGGCTATATCAACCCCCCATTGTTTTGGTTGTGATTCCCATCCCGGGAATATATTCATATCTATACCCATCGAATAATTGTGATAACACCATGATAAAGACGGGACAGTTGCTAGATCAATCAAATTGAGAATGTCACCGTATCCTATATTTAACGTAGAACTTAGACATAAACCGCCTTTCGACGAAGGAGGCGTATTAAATGCTACGCAATCTACCGACCCTTTTCTTGTGCATGCTTGTTCTCGTCTCGTTCTAATTTGTTTTGCCTGCCGAGATTTGTAAGTGAAGAGATCCTCGGTGAATAGATGCTGCCTTGGTATGATGTGAATTTCGCACTCTCCGCCAGGGCCGCGCCCGGAAGCAGTTCAGCGTGGTAGGCGGGGTACCATTGACTCGGAAGGCTTTGTGTTGCTATGGAAACGGGCCACAACATGGCAGGCCCCTCTGTCTGCCTTTTGGTGCCCATTTTCCTCCGTTGAGTTCACTTTTGGTTTCCTTGTTGGACCTCCTCTTGCCAACCTTTGATTCTTGTCCGCTTTCCTCGTTGTTCGCCTTCAAACTTTTAATTGCCCTATCAACAAGCAGCCGTACAGGGGTCTGGCTCATCGGCTGTTTGGACTCCAAGCATCGGAGCGCCCAAACCTTGGATTGCACTTTTTGGCTCGTATTGGGGAGGCCCGATATAGACCTGCCGTCTTGGAATACAGCCAACACAAACAACAGGTTGTTGATCACTGCCTGCTCATTTGCGGCAGAGCCCGCGAAATCATTCGAGCGCCTCGATGCATTGAGAACGGCTTTGGGATCGCGGACATTTTCGTCGAAAGTCGGATCAGGCTCCTGGTCTCCAGGCGGAACTCCCATGGCACAAGACCCAGAGAATCAAGATCGGTGCGCCTTGCAGAACCCCCATTTGGGGCGCCGGCCTGACGCTTGAACTGACCTCGCAGATCGGGAAGTTGAAACATGCGTAGGTACGTGGCTCACATGACCATCGCAGCCTGGCGCGTCGCGGATTCTTTTTGTTTATTGGATGTTGCCGGATTTGGGCGGCCTGCGGTCGGATCTGTTCACGTCTGAGGCCTCCAAGTATGGCCAGGAGGAGTTCCAGATTTGGCAGGATGAGGAGGGGCCCCGGCCTCCAAAAGCGGCGTGCAAATGGATTGGTCACGTGTGAGTGCCGCAATACGCCCGTGGCTGAGGCCATTAGCGTGCCACATCTATGCGGCAATTGGTTGAAACATGTTTGTGAGATGAGTCTGAGATCCGTTGCCCGTTTCGCATAGCATGGGGCAGGTATTGGGCCAACCCTAGCGATCTGTTGTCGCGGGTTCGGATGAATTGGCCTTGCCGGGCTTCCCTCAAAAACTGAAGAGCATCCAACTCAATCTTGGGTGTTTCTCAAAATACGTCGCAGGACCCCAATCGCGCCATCTTCCCGGAGGCGGCCGGCTCCCATAGCGGCGGGTCTTTGGTGCTGGGCCCGCACCGGGGAGCATCCGCCCCGTGGCGAAGAACCGACGCCGTGTTGAACCGGCCGGGCTTGGACACCGCTTGGTCTCCGTTGGGGGAACCCGACGCCCCAACATCATATAAGGGCTTGCCAGTTTAAGGACTGCAACATCATAGAGAAGAGCTTGCCAATTCAGGATCCGAGGACTTTGGTTAAAATCGAGGAGTTTCCACAACGGCTCGCTTGTCTAGCAACAGCCGTTGCATGAGACAGCTTCAGTGTGCAAGGACACCTCAGTGAAACAGCGAAATGTTTGCATGATAGAAGTTGCACTGAGGACAACAAGTTTATCATTGACGGCTACCCAGGCACATCGTTGCACACAACACGTGCAAGCGGGGAGATGTCTGGAAGAAATACGGCCGAACCAGGGGATGAAAGGGAGGAAGGGAGGAGGCAGGAAGGAAGGAAAGAAGGAGGGGGAGGAAGGAACCAGAGCAAAGGAAGCGAGGGGAAAGGGCCAGAGTTTGTTGGCAGGCACGCAGTTCGAGATTGTTCTTGACTTTACAAGTGCCTTGGACTAATTGACGGGGGCAGGATGTTCACGACTCACAGCGCGCTTTTCGGCCTGGAAATCCTTCTCGCCAAGGTGACAACAAGTGGCGGACAGTGACCTGCGCAAAGCTCCCCACAGCAGTCTTGGCGACCTGGCATCTACTGGAGTGGGCTGGGTTGAAGGGATGCAAATGACAGGCAATGCGCGACACGGACGGGAGTGCGCGTAAACAGGCCTATGACCTGTTTCATGATGGCAGCTGCTGAATGGGCAAGCCCTTGCATAGCTGACATGCAGTCCATGCACATCCAAGGACATCCAGCCACAAGCGCTTCCAAGCTGATGGCTGGGTCGTTTGCACAGGGCACAGCTGAAGAAATACCAGCACGTTGATTATTTAGTGTCAACAAGGTGCCAACTGAAGGGCCGGGGCATGGTGCCCTTTGTGTGCCTTGGCGTGCCTTGGCGTGCCTTGGTTAGTTTGAGCGCGCCCAGGCGCTCGTTAATGAAGCTGAGCCTGGCTCCTCTTTGTGTATCAAAAGAGTGCCTCACATGGGTGTTGTTGGCATGCCTGTGAGCGGAAAGCGGTGCGGAAAGCGGGCCTGCCAATGGCGAAGTATTGTCGATCGCAGCTGAGCCTCAAACAACAAACACAGAAGCAGAGGTTAGCCTTCTTATTGCACGCATTCCCAGGGGCTTAGGGGTGACTTTTTTTGACGACTGCGTCCATTCAAGCGACTCCTGTCATTTTCGGCAAGCTCAGTTCTGCCTCGCCGCTGAAGCGCTGACCGGTGCTTTCAACTTTGTGGACATGACTATCCACCAGCCAAGTCACCGTGCACTGGTTTAAGACCCGTCCAAGGGCTTCGGGACGCAAAAAGCCTCGGGCCATGTCGCTCTCCTCTGGCCCTTCCGGCGGCTTGGCGGGGGACCTGCAGCCCTACCAGCACATCTGCTCTCCAAGAGACGTGGAGTCCAATGCCACTTGGACCTTGCCATGTCCTGATCCAATGACGATCCACCTAGAGTGACATGAAAGACGGAGTGCGATTCCAAAAAGCAATGATAGGTGGGGAAGAGTGCTTGAGACTAAACTCGGAAGACAAAGTCGAAACTGACTGACTGCGCAATCAAACTCAGGATAAACTCTAATCAACATCCTTGACAGTCCTTGACATGTATTGTTCGCCGTTTGCGGTGTCATTGCTAGCATTTCCTGCTTGTTTCTTGATAGTCTTGGTCGAATACTTTTCCCAAAAAAGGAAAGCAAACAAGCACAAACGAGCCAACGCAAAAGGCTTCCACAGAAGAGTCCGAATTTTTGGGTACTCCTTTTGTTTGGTAGGTGGATATGCCTTTTGTCGAGGGGACCCTCGAACAAAGTGAAGCCATCCAAAAAGGGGACTCTCAAAGGGATTCTGAAAAGTGCCTTTGGAGGATTTCCAGAGTTTCCTTTCTAGAGTATCCATATGGCTAGGAATCTTTTTGTTGGGACCCAATCCCAACTGGTTGGTGGACACAAATTCCACCGATGTCATGGGGACAGGTGGACCCGGCCAGCTACGAGCACTTCATCGAGACCTTGCGCCAGGGCTCCGCGGGGGCGCTGCGGGTGGCCGCGGCAGCGCGGGTGCTGCAGCGGGAGGCCCACCAGACCTCCACCTTCGCCAAGGCGCCGCGTGGGCGCGTGCGCGCGTGGGCGATTTTTTTTTGCCGAGTCGCGGAGTCGTGGGTTGGGCGTGGAGCTTTCTTTTGGAGCTACCCCCCTAAAAAAGGTCAAAAGCTGGTTTTTCTATGCAGGTAAATTGGCTGCTACTGATACCGGGAGGGTTTAAAGGGGGTCTGTTGCCAATATGGCTTCCCAAGCCATCCGCCTGGCAAAACGATGGGCTTTTGGTTAGAAACAGTTTGCATTTTTGCTTGGGGCTTGCGAGCTCGAAGGATGTAGAACTGGATTGTTTTTGGTAGGGGGCTTGGCCACAGAATTGAGTTCGGGTTTCAATCGAAAGCCGCTCGAGAAAAGTACCCTCAATTGGGGGAGGGGCCTGCGCTAAGACCTGTTTTTTTTGGTTGGGGGTAGGTTGGACCCGTAGCCAAATGCTTCTTTGTTGTTTGTGTTTTCCGTTTCACTGCAAGGGTCCAACATTTATTTTCTGGGCCTGCGGCCTCTAGCCGGCTACGCCTCTTTGAAGTTATACCATGTCATGTCATGTTTTTTGTATGAGAAGCGTATCCTGTGCTATGATATGGCTGGTTAGGTTATGCATGTTGCCCACCCCAACCCCAGATGATGCCGGGGATGCCAGCTTTCTGGGCCCTAGCCGGGACCCAAACCAGAAGGCTGACATGGGGTCGCGCGCACGCGCGCGCGCGCCAGAGGCCGCAGAAACAGCAGCCCAAAAAGAACAGCCCGCAAGCCAGCCCGGAAACGCAAAAGCAACACACCACCGTAAATAGCAGCGTTTTGTGGCTGGGGTCGCGCGCACGCGCCAGAAGGCCCGAAAACCAACGCGAAAAAAGCAAGGACCGCGCAGCACGCGAGCCAGCCACAGCAAAAGCAAAACGGACAGAACAGCAGCCCACCGCCCAGCGCAGCAGTTTTTGACGGTATTTACAGCGTTTTGTAGAGCGAGGACCCAGCATCGCCGGCATGCCCGGCAGCGCTTGGCGCCAAAATGCGCGAAAATGAGCCTCGCTTATATCCCTCCGATACCTTTTAAAAAACAGTGCTTTTTGGGTTGAGAAGCTTTTTGGAAGGAAGTCTTGATGATGCAGACCAAGCCCCGCTGAAGCATCACCCAGGCCCAACCCCAGCGATGTTTTGCGAGGGTTTCCCACAGGCAAGCAAAACCGCAAGCCCGAGCTGGTGATGCAGAGGTGCCGGATTTAGGCCACGCATCACGACCAAGTGACGAGGGTCGGCGGCGCCAGGGTGCAGCCCCTATAGCCAAAGCTAGCAGGCTAATTGCCTAGCGGCGACATGCTACCCCAGGAGGCGTAGCCGGATCTAAGGGCTGCCGCCCTGTGCCGCTGCCCCCGGCTTGCTTTCAACAATTATGACTACGCGTTGTTTGTCGGATTTTAACGGCACACTTAAAGCATATATGAAAAAGAAGAGCGCCGCGATAATGTTCATGCTTTTGATGATGCAAATTATTACCCAACATTAGGGATGCTGATATTTAATACTATGCATTCGCATTATCGCCAGCAGTCATGATGATAACTGTTACTTTGCATTCTTTTCATCACCAGCAGTTGTTATGATAATTTTGACGACGCATGCCCTGCATCTCAAACAAGCTACCGCAGGATTAATTCGCATGAGAATGAGCACCTTGTTGGATTTTACAAGAAGTGCCCCCGGTGTGTGGAAACTTGGGCAGGAAAACCATGTTGGGGGCACTTTTTTTTGTCCGCAAGACTTCGTTTTATTGCTGTGGATGCAATGACTGCACATCCCCGATCCCGGTGATAATCATCACTACGCATCCCCAGCATCACCAGCAATTCACACGCTGACGCGACACAGCCGGCCACCGGGCACCCCTTCCCCGTTCTTTCATTTCCTTTCCCTCTAAGTCCTGCTAGTTCTCGGGATGATTTGAACTTTACTTCCTTTGCATGTCTTCCCTGACAGTTTCCTGGCATGTCCCTTCGCGTCCTTCCACCCTTCATTTGCTTGAAGACTCCTTTATTCGCATTCCTTTCCCTTTTCGTTCCCGCTGTCCGGATCTCTTCACGTTCTGCCCTTGCATTTTCCTGCATCTCGGTTTCTCTCCAGTGCCCTCTTGATTTTCCTGCAATTCCTTTGACTTTCATTTCGTTCACTTTCAGTCACTCCTGTTTCCTTGTATTTCCCCTTCAGCCCCTTGTTTCGCATCGCCAGCATGCATAGCATCATCCGCATCATCCGGGATGATGCTGGCAATGCTGGGGGTGTAGTCCGGTATTAGGCACCCCCTAAAAATACTCGTTTTTGGACTCGTTTTTGGACGCTGCGGGGAGATGCTACAAAAATCCTCGGAAATCGCCTAAACCAATCCGCAAATCCTTCGCCCCTTATAAGGGAGGGCCCAGCATAAAACGTATGCGCATGTTCTGCGCATGTTTTGCGCATGTTCTGCGCATGGTCGGCGGCATGGGGCGCGCGGCCTTATACCTGAAGGTAAGCCCTACCGGGCTTTGGCCTGCGGCCCGATCACGTCCGGTGGCCGGATTACACGCTGACGCGACACAGCCGGCCACCGGGCACCCCTTCCCGTTCTTTCATCTCCTTTCCCTCTAAGTTTCCTGGCATGTCCCTTCACTTCCTTCCACTTCACTGCCGCTTCAGCTTCCTTTCATTTCCTTGAAGACTCCTTCATTCGCATTCCTTTCCCTTTTCGTCCTTGCATTTTCCTGCAGCTTGGTTTCTCTCCAGCGCCCTCTTCATTTTCGTGCAATGCCTTTGACTTGCATTTCGTTCACTTCCAGTCCTGTTTCCTTTCAGCCCCTTGTTCGCATCGCCAGCATGCATAGCATCATCCGCATCATCCGGGATGATGCTGGCAATGCTGGGGGTGTTGTCCAGTATTAGGCACCCCCTAAAAATGCTCGTTTTTGGACGCTGCGGGGAGATGCTACAAAAATCGCCTAAACCAATCCGCAAATCCTTCGCCCCTGATAAGGGAGGGCCCAGCATAAAACGTATGCGCATGGTCCGCGCATGGTCGGCGGCATGGGGCGCGCGGCCTTATACCTGAAGGTAAGCCCTAACGGGCTTTGGCCTGCGGCCCGATCACGTCCGGTGGCCGGATTATTTAAGGGCTGCCGCCCAGTGCCGCCGACCCCTGGATTTAGTTGTGGTTTTCGAGCAACAAAAAACAGTGCCCTTGGTTTTGGTTTCTTTGGTTTCTTTTTGACCCAAATGGCATCTGAGGCGAGGTGCCGTTTCGATAATGATGCGTAGTCATGATCATCGCTAGGCACCCTTGGTAATGCAGAGGATGCTACGATGATAGTGATCATGATAGTCATCCGCAGCTTTGGTAACGCAAAAAATGCTACGATGATAGTTATCATAAGAGTCATCATCCTCATCATCTTCATGATGATTGTCATCATAGTCATCGCCGTCATCATCGTCATCATGATATTCTTCTATCATTTCAAATGCGGTATTAGGCATCCTTGGTAATGCAGAGGATGCTACGATGATAGTTATCATGACAGTCATCCGCAGCTTTGGTAATGCAGAGGATGCTACGATGATAGTTATCATAAGAGTCATCATCCTTATCATCTTCATGATGATTGTCATCCTAGCATCATCGTCATCATGATTTTCTTCTATCTTTCTTCTATATACATTTGAAATGCATCATTGGTAATGCAGAGGATGCTACGATGATAGTTATCATGACAGTCATCCGCAGCATTGGTAATGCAGAGGATGCTACGATGATAGTTATCATGACAGTCATCCGCAGCTTTGGTAATGCAGAGGATGCTACGATGATAGTTGTCATAAGAGTCATCATCCTTATCATCTTCATGATGATTGTCATCATAGTCATCGCCGTGATCATCGTCATCATGCTTGTCATCATCATCTCTTCCTTTTATTCTTCTATCTTTCTTCTATATACATATCAAATGTGGCGTTAGGCATCCCTGGTAATGCAGAGGATGCTACGATGATAGTTATCATGACAGTCATCCGCAGCTTTGGTAATGCAGAGGATGCTACGATGATAGTTATCATAAGAGTCATCATCCTTATCATCTTCATGATGATTGTCATCATAGTCATCGCCTGCATCATCGTCATCATGAGTGTCATCATCATCATCATCTGTTTCTTCTATCTTTCTTCTATACACATTTCAATCGTGGCGTTAGGCATGACATCTCTTGCTCCAGCTTGAGCAAATCCCTCAATGAAATCATACAAAACTCTGATGACAAACACACACTTTTAACCAGCCTGAGTAAACAAATAATAATAAAATAATAACTTCATATTTCAAATGTGGCGTTAGGAACCTTTGGTAATGCAGAAGATGCTACGATGATAGTTATCATAAGAGTCATCATCCTTATCATCTTCATGATGATTGGCATCATAGTCATCGCCGTGATCATCGTCATCATGCTTGTCATCATCATCTCTTCCTTTTATTCTTCTATCTTTCTTCTATATACATATCAAATGTGGCGTTAGGCACCCTTGGTAATGCAGAGAATGCTACGATGATAGTTATCATGACAGTCATCCGCAGCTTTGGTAATGCAGAGGATGCTACGATGATAGTTATCATAAGAGTTCATCATCGTCATCATCATTGTCATCATCAATTGTCACATCATCTCTTCTTCTATCTTTCTTCTATTAGGCATCCTTGGTAATGCAGAGGATGCTACGATGATAGTTATCATGACAGTCTTCCACAGCTTTGGTAATGCAGAGGATGTTACGATGATAGTTATCATAAGAGTCATCATCCTTGTCATCTTCATGATGATTGTCATCATAGTTAGTCATCGCCTTCATGATTGTCATCATGATTGTCATCATTATCATCATCTCTTTCTTCTACGATTCTTCTTTTTATACAAAGATGAGGGCTGTGATGATGATGGCGGCTTTTCCAAGAGAATCTGTTTAGTGCCGCCATGACATGCATTCTTTATCCACATCCATCTACAAATTCCTTTAGGATGTGGAACAAGAATGAGAGAGATGAAAGGGAGGGATTTCCTGTAGACCAACCTTCATCTCCCATTATCTCCTTTCTATTTGTGGGTTTGGTCGCGAGAATAGAAATCCATTAAAATGCGACCAAAGAGAACCCACAAAGGAAAGGGTGTGAATGGAGTTAATGTGTGTTGAGGATGGGAACGGAGTGGGAGAAAGAGAGTGATATGAGAGACCCATCCAACACACACTCCATCCTACCTCCTCCCTATCCTCTTTCCCTTTGGTCTCTCCCTCCTGTCTCCGGATGATATATATCATCGTAGCATCCTCGGCATCATCAGTGCCGGCTAACAAGAGATGATGATGACCATGATGATAGTGATGATAAGGATGAGGACTGTGATGATAACTATCATCGTAGCATCCTCTGCATTGCCAATGGGGTCTAACGTCACTTTTGAAATGCATATAAGAATAAGAATAAGAATGAGATGATGATGATCATCATGATGATGATGAGAACCTCATCATCACTATCATCATGGTTATCATCATCTCTTATTAGCCGGCGCTGGTGATGCCGAGGATGTCATCATCATCTCTTATTAGGCAGCACTGGTGATGCAAAGGGTGTTATGATGATAGTTATCATCATAATCATCATCATGATCATCCTTATTGAGAAGTATCGTCGTAGCATCCTCTGCATTGCCAATGGGGTCTAACGTTACTTTTGAAATGCATATAAGAATAAGAACAAGAATGAGATGATGATGATCATCATGATGATGATGAGAAGAGCGATGACATCATAATAAGGATGAGCATGATGATGATTATGATGATAACTATCATCGTAACACCCTTTGCATCACCAGTGCTGCCTAATAAGAGATGGTGATGACCGTGATGATACTGATGACAAGGATGAGGACTGTGATGATAACTATCATCGTAGCATCCTCGGCATCATCAGTGCCGGCTAACAAGAGATGATGATGACCATGATGATAGTGATGATAAGGATGAGGACTGTGATGATAACTATCATCGTAGCATCCTCTGCATTGCCAATGGGGCCTAACGTTACTTTTGAAATGCAGATAAGAATAAGAATAAGAATGAGATGATGATGATCATCATGATGATGATGAGAAGAGCGATGACATCATAATAAGGATGATCATGATGATGATTATGATGATAACTATCATCATAACACCCTTTGCATCACCAGTGCTGCCTAATAAGAGATGATGATGACATCCTCGGCATCACCAGTGCCGGCTAATAAGAGATGATGATGTTGAAGGATATAGAAATGATGATGATGATGTTGACGATAAGAATGATGAAGGATCATATCGATGATGATGATGATGATGATGATGATGGGCATCCGTATGATGCCAGTAGTCATATGCTTGCCTCAAAGATTTCCTCTGCATTTCCAATCGGGTCTAACGGCACACTTGAAACGTATATGAAAAAGACAAGCGCCACGATAATGCCGATGATCATCAGTACGCATCCCCAGCATCACCAGCAACTATCATGACAATCATCACTACGCATCCTCTGCATTTATAGTCGGGTCTAAGAAACGTACATGAAAAAGAAGATGACCATTTTCCAGTGCTTTATGGGCGCAATTGGGAGCGAAATGGGGACCAACTGAAGGTCCGCAAAAGACCTTAGGTTGGTCATTAAGTGCCCCGTGCCAATGAGGGCTATTGCATATGATGTGGACTTTTCTAGAACTGATGTTTCTAGCAATCCTTGTGATCTAGCATCATTGGTGTTTTTTTTCCCCACTACGTGTGTGTATGAGCTATGAACATAGGCACCGCTTCTGAAGTGCCGCATGGATTAAGCAGTTGTCTCAGACAGCTGTTTCCACCGTATGCCATGCCTTCAACGATGCTGAGCAAAAGAGCCCCATCACCATGTGGAAATTGTTGGCAAAGCAGCGCACACGCTGAACGTTGAGGCGCAAAACAACCAGACATGCCCGAAAGCCAAGCGGGAGCTGAGAATAGCTGGCAGTAGCCCTGTGCAATTGCTCATTTCAAGAAACACAAATTGATACGTAGGGGAGGGATGGACTCTACAACTGATATGTTAAAAGGTTGAAAGATTGGGCAGATTCCGTCACACTAGGTTGTGGAGTCAGTATGTCAAAATTTGAGGGCCCTCTTGGATTCAACGCAAAGCTTCAACCTCAAACCACATGCTTGGGAAGTTTTGTGTGGTTTCGATCCGGATCGAGATCCACGCAACGGCTCACAGCTGCGCCATATGCAGGCAGCCTTGGGCGCCGCCACGTCAATCTTGGACAACCCAGATGGGACTTCTGCCGTGCTGGCCAAGAGAGAGACTCAACGCCACCTGAATTGACTTGTTCACGCATCTTTGTCCGTGTATGCAGGAGTTGGCTGGCACACTGGGTGATTGTTTGCTTGCCCAGGCTATGCAATAGCTTGGTGGAATCGATATTTCAAAGATCTCACCAAGTCAGAGCCAAGACGGATAAGATGCTTGGCGGACAGCCACGCAAGATCTCGTATCCAAGGAATGTAGTCCCCGCAGTTTTGCCTGATCTCAGGAGCACGGCGGAGCATGACGGATGCCAAAGCTCAGAAGGAGGAGATGCAGGCCAAGGTGGCAGAACTGGAGTCTATCAACAGAGAGGAGTTTCAGCTGGGCGCCAAGTGAAGCGGCTCCTTCGCTTTCCTCTTGCAAGTGGCTTGGCTATTTTCCTTGAGGAAGCGGCTGAGCGATCAGCAGAGCGACCTGACTAAGAGGGAGACTGACTACGCCATGAATACTCAGCCGAAAGCTCGGCCTCAGCTCAAGCCTTTCGTTGTCAACAGATCAAGCCCAGGAGCAACGTGCAGATGAAGCTGCAGATGGCTGAGGCGCCCACAAGTGGGAGTGCCATCAGAATCTTGGAAGGTGGAGAAGTTGAGACAAGTCGACTGACTGGACCATGAGTTGTCGGCGTGTGAGTTCCAGGCAAAGGGCGATCACGCCAAAGCTGCCAAGTATCGGGACATGCTGGAAGACTACTATGGCAAGCGCGAGAGAGAACAGGTCAGCATACAGGCGTGGACACATTGGGGCCATGTTGAGCTGTGCGATGGAACCTTGCTATTTAAAGAAGAGAGCAACTTAGCATGGAGAATGGATCCTTCAATCCTTCCTTGAAACTGACGTACTGTAGCTTGGTGCCTTTGCTCCAGTTGCAGCTTAAGAGAGCTTCTCTTTTGCCTTGCTTGACAGATGCCGCTGTTCTTAGATGTTCCGCATGCTGCCAAGCCAAGCTCTGAGTCTTTTCAGGAAGCCAAACAGGATATCGCCAAGCAGCGGAGATTCATCGCAAAGTTGCCGATGGTGCCTCTGCTGAAGGGGACTCAAAGCCGGGAGTTCTTTGTCGGCTTGCCTGTTCATCTCTCTCTCTCTCTCTCTCTCTCTCTCTCTCTCTCTCTCTCTCTCTCTCTCTCTCTCTCTGTGCGTCAGGAGATCCGCACGACCAAGAGCAGGTTGAAGTCCGCCGGCCAGCGCTACGAAAACGCCGCGCCTGGATCTGCATGGCTTCGCGGACAGCCTGCCAATGTTTGTCTTCCATTTCATGGATGATTTAGCAATTAGCAGATGACACCTGTGCAGAAATGGGTTACGTGCCGAGGAGAAGATGCTGGGCCACATCCGTGGCCATTTAGACGCTCGTTTGCCATGGGAAGGAAGGCCAAGAGCCTTGAGGTCGCATGCCGTGAGTTCACTCAAGTTTATGCCAAGCGCCAAAAAGACCACAACTCAGGGCGAGCTAATGAGCAATGCTCCGTTGAAGCCCACCAACCCCTACGAGAAACTGAAATACGCGGCTCGGCATTGAATAAGCAAAGTGCCCTTCGAGCGGGCACGACCTGGGGACCGAGGTGAGCTGCTGGCGCCTGGGGAAAACACCCAAGGAGGCAGGCATGCCCCTCGGCAGAATTGGAGATCTGAATTGTGTTTGTTTTGCAGAGGAAGCAACTAAAGCCTGGATACGGCCCTTTACTAGTGTTCTCTTGGCCAAAGTCTACCAGAAAGGAGGGTCGTGGGTGAGTTGGGAGCCAATATGATGAGCCCGGGGTGGTGCAGAGGTGCTTCTTCCTCGTGCCAGAGCAGCGGAAGAAGAGGGTCCGACCGGGTGACTTCCTGTGGCTGTGAGCAGCAACGTCGCTCATTTGGTGGCACCACGTGCTCCACCAAATGAAGGAGCAGCGCTCAAACCCCTCATGGGCATTTTAGTTCTACTTCCTGCTTTAGGGGTTGCTGTCTATAGAACCTTTACAAGCATAGAACCCGCCGATGGGTTTGATCTCTGATTAGGCACAAAATCGAATGCGCAAGACTGACGTGCCGGAAAGACGGCGCATTTGCGAGACAAAATGCGCTCTCAACCCTTGACTTTCAAAGTCATTCAAGATGAGAGAGTGGTCCCATCATGAGCAAGCGGATTGCAGCATCAGAATGCTCCATGACACTACGATTTGTTTGCCTGACTTGTTGGCAAGCCCTTGATTTCAAGTCGCGCAAGCTTAGAGAAATAGCGCAACAGTCAGCTGCGGAGTTTGCACAGCCCAAGCCCCCAGCAGGGGAATTGCCGGCAGGTAGACGTAACTTTTGGAGGGCCTCACGCTCGTGCAGTCAGAGCTTGAGCTTGACCGGTCAAAGATGCGGGCAATCACAAGACCAATCTTAGTGCCGAGACGCGGCTGCCAGCAAGCACTTCACAACCAAAAGCCCATGGTTGCCGTCGCTTGCTGTAGCCTGCTGTCGCGCACCTTCTTTGTGACAGGCTCTGGCACATCCATCACGCACGGCCGGCGGTTCCATCGGTGGGGGCGTTGAAACGCGCAGCGGGGTGAATCGGTAGAGCGCCAAGTTTGTCAGTCGACCAGACCAGCAAGCCAGCTGTTGGGAGAGTACAGTTTCCCTTGAGCTGCGCAGTCGCTGCGCCTCTCGTGCTGCTGGGCACCGTGCTCTTCCAGGCGCGGCCAACGTGGTGCTTGGTACCGGGTCCTGCGGTTTCGAGCCAGGTCTCACTCGACCTCGAAGTCCAGAGCAGAGCACACAGAGTCTGGAAACAAACTCGAAACATGCCTGTTTGTTCCCCGTTTTGTAGTTTGCATTACGACTAATAGATCCGCAGGTTTTCCTGACGGATGGCATGTGAGGCCTCCAGAATCTGAAGTATGCAGCGGAGCAGGAGGCCGCTGCTACGGCCACAGAGGCGGAGGCGCCGGAAGTGTGGGGCTGTTTGCCTGCGCTTCCGCTGGCGATCGCAGGCAGCCAAGGATCTGGGCGAGGCAGCGCTGGACCAGACGGAGGCGCGATTTGCGCGACCCCGGGATGCAATTTGCGCATCTGGCGTCAGGAGTTTACACCCGAAATGTTCAGATCCTTATATCCTCCGCATGAGAACAACCGCCTAGCACAAAATTGGACCAGAAACACCGGTGAGCGTTGGCACGGCGCGGCAAAAAGCCGAAGCATTTGCTACGTACAGGCCAATCTCTTTGAGCAGGAGGCACAGACTCTGGATGCAGACGTTGCCTCGGAGACCGCTGCTCGGCTCGGGACTGCACTTTGCAGCCTTTGAAGCTGGTCTTCCTCACCATGCCCACTTTGCTTGGGAGTTGGGGATCATTTTTTGCCCTGTGTTTCGTGGCTTCTATTTGGCTTGCCGTCGACCGTTGCGAGGCGGGATCTGAACTGCTCGTCGCCGAGAGCGAGACAGCTGCCAAGGAGGGCGGTGCTGGTAGTCAACACTTTCCTACAGATCCGTTTTTCT